TGCACAATGTGACACAGGCCCCACCTATCTAACCTTGTAACGTAGGCTACCCGCTCAGGTCACTGAGTTGTCGTGGGGACTATCGGTCAAATTTCCTACTCTGAGAGCGGTCCTCGCGGCTGGCAGTAGCTACAATCCGATGTTTTGGCAAAAAAGTAATTATGATGTTCAGGGACGCTGGACCCGATTTCCAGCAGATGCTGCTCCTCACCAATAGACGGAGCCTCCCCGACAGTGTTAGTGGTGTCTGCTCTTATCAGCACCCCTAGCACTACCTCGGGTTGTTCAAAAAAAATAATAATAATAATAATAAAAAATGAATAAAAATAAAAGAAAGACAAAATCAGCTCAGGTTCGATGTCCTCTGGGACACATGGAGTGCGTGCGGCCGCACGCTTCCAGGGTTGACCTACCGGAGAAAATTGCTGGTGCCGCCAGCCAAGAGAAGGTCCACGCCAGTTCGTTTTTTTGGGCACGTTTCCAGGACCCGCCGCAAAAGGGTCAAAAACACTAGCGGTTTAAAAAGCACTAGCCGTTTAATAAGCACTACTAGTAGCGGTTTAAAAGTGGGACAGTGTAGAGAAGATTGGCATACCTGCTGGGCATCTGCACAAGGATGGACACATAAATTGAGAGGTGGTGCAAATATCATTCTGGTGAGCAGAATGGCATCTACATCATAGCATGGCCACCAGGGCCACCACAATAATGAATCGACAAGACCAACACGGCACTGAAAGCGAAGAGGAGCGTATGAGTGGCAATGACAATGGCGAGTACTATGCTCATCAGGATAACGATCGCAAAGAGCGTGGAGAGCAAACATGATCGGATAGGTCCGGCCGGGCTCTGAGAAAACACGGCCAAAGGTGTCTCCTCTAATCATAAGATTGGAGTGCTGTGATGATGTTATGCGTGACAATGACAATGATGAGGGAGGTGGGGGGAAGGAGGAGCAGTGTCTAATTTTTTTTTTTGGGGGGGGCGGGGGGGTTGGGGGACAATTTAAGCATTTCCTTGCCTCACAGTAAATATGGCCTGGAACAAAGAATGGACTATCTGGTAGGGCTATGTCACCCTGTCACGTCCTCAATTACAGCACTCTATCATAAAGACCATGAAAATAGCGAGCATATGAGTGGCTGCCGCTACCAGCAATCACCGCGGGTCTGGTCCTGTCTCTTATACACATCTAGATGTGTATAAGAGACAGGATGAGAAGAGGGAAAAGAGGAAGGGGGAGAAGAAGAGGGGATGGGAGAAGGAGAAGGGAAGGAAAGGGGATGAGAGGGTGGAAGAGGATGGTGCACGGACCAGCGAAGCATACGTCGAAACCATTGTGTAAGGCGAGTTACATGTATAGGATGTCGACGCTGGCGAGCACGAATGTAACAAGTCCATCCATGGGCCAGTGTTGACGGAGCATGACCACGGGAGAGGAAACGGCGGACAAGCATGGTTGCTGCAGTATTGAAATCATGCCAATTGTCACAAATCTGCTCAAACCGCGTAAGATGGCCAGCGAATACACCTGCAGGCCGATGAAATGGAATGTTTGACGTTGCACTAGGATATCGTATAACAGGAAAATCCCATGCAACGGTCTTATCAAACACACTCAATCAGAGAGATCCGTCTGCTCGTGTCTGCAGTTTCGCACCTAAAAAGGTTCAGGAGCCATCTGCCGCAGTGGTATCCTTCCATTCAAGACCATAATAGGCTGACGATGGTGGCAAACAATCAAAGGTAAGAACATCATCAATGAACCGATATGTAAAAACATATCGCCAAGCAGCAGAGGCCCGGGGGATCCACACGCTGCAGGTTGTCCACGTACTGCGCCTCATCCCAATAGAGTGTAAGGTTAGCAATCTCAGGACCAGCGTTTGTACCCATAGGGCCATAGGGATACCGACATCTTGATGACGAACAAGGCCATCCGCTGTATATATTGTCACACTGGAAATCAGAGCGCAAAGGCGGAAAAAGACAAAACAAGAAAAAGAAAAAGTAAGGAAGGAAGGAAAGCCCCACCTGTTCGTCACCTCTTACGTACAAGGCCAGCCACGTGGATGACAGGTTGAGCGCTGGCTGCCCCCATCCCCGTGTGTCATAAAGACCCACTTGCACGCAGCCAAAAGGCAAAGAGGTAAAGAAAAGGCGGAGGAAACCAAACCTCACAGAAGAAGAAAAAACAGACGAAGCAAGTGACACATCCCACAGATAATCCAATTACCATCCCACAGAACATATTTTTCTTTTTCCTTTTTCTTTTTTCTTTCTTCTCAGGTTTCTTTTTTTGCGTTTTCCTTCCTTGATTTCTTTTTTTTTTTATTTCTTTTTTATCTTTTTACTCAGTTTCTTTGTTTATCTGTTTCTTCTACACTTCATCTGTCACCCCCTCGGCAGATAGGACAACTACGGTGAGGATGACGGGGATGTCGTCACAAATTTATCAGAGCACAAATATATACATATGTATTTGTAACAATAAACCGAAGATGTTGAAGAATGTCAAAAACAGAAAGAGTGTCAGGTCCCGTATCCGTAGTCCATTCCCCTGCACGGGGTCCACGGACCAGCATACAAAGAGCAACACCCGATGAGCGTGTCTGTGTATGCTGCCGTGCCTGTGCAAGAGCATAGGCATGCGCCTCATCAACGGCATTAGCAACATTGTCAAGAATCCGTTGATGAGAAAGATTAGTATACATAGTAGTGAAATCGACCGTATGTGGGCCCAGACCTCTGAGAGAAGCTTTATTCTTTATGAGATCAAGCATGACCTCGTCACTGCTCTGGACAATCCAACATCGTCGAATACCTTTGGTTTGAAAGAGTTGATTATCTTTTTCGTGAAGAGTACGGATGACGCCTTGAAGTGCTGCACGCAAACGAGCCGATGTAGGTGTTGTACTAGCTACAGACTTGTGAGGCGGTCAGTGATGCAAACGCTGGACTAGTTGGGAGGGGTGCAGGTCACCCCGCTGGGCCATATGAGAAGAGGACGAAGAAGAAAGATTGTTGCGGGCGGTGATACCAAGAATAGTACGGAGTGTCGGAGGAGATTTATGGGCCTTAAGAGCGCAATAAAGATACGGCAATGTGTCAGCATGAGTATAATTCCAATGACTGTTCCAAACTGCATGGCTATTCAGAACGTCGGCCGCTGATTCAGCAGGCCGAGAATACGTAGGACTGTCAAGGTGTCTTGACAGTTTAAATCGATACCAACCTTCTTATGCATCATGCGACGCCAGGCAATGACCTCAATGACCATCCTCATATTTCAGCCTGTATTTTACACAGACCCGGGCATTATATGGCACTCATTCGTGCAGCTGCCCAGTGGGAACTGTGGGATGGTGGGACAATGATTCAGGCTATTTGCAACGTAAACGAGTTTTTGGGTGCATTGCCGAATCATACTTTATTCTGGATTATTGACCGACTCTCGTGTGACACCTGTCGGGGCAGAGACGCGGTGAGTCTTGGTTGTGGCATTCATCATCTATGCCATCACGATGATCAAACTATTGCAGCCGCCGCCATCTGTGCCGAAGGGTGTCCAACATTCCCTCATTGTACACATCCCTATCACCCAGACATTCGTTGTCCCTTTTGTGAGCAAGGGCGTTATCAGAACTGCATGATGCCGCACTGTGATGAACGTCTCGCTGTTTTTTTGACATGTGGACAGCATGTCCTTCGTCAGGACTGCTTTGATGGCATTGTCACATGAATATCAGAGCGCAAAGGCAAAAAAAAAGCAGAAGAAAACAAGAAAAAAAATAATTCGTTTTTTAATCTTCTTCCTTACAACTCCCCCTGTTAAGAACCTCTTGTGTACAAGGCCGCCCACGTGGATGTAGGTTGAGTGGCGGCTGCCCCCACCCCCGTGTGTCATATCGACCCACTTGCACACAGCCAAAGGGCAAAGAGGCAAAGAAAAGAGGAAGGGAACAGCCAAATACAACAAAACAGGGGGCAACAAGCAACAGCACCAAAAACAGATCCTAGATAACAAGTCCCACATGCAAGCACCGTCCCTCCTTCACAGGCCAAACGACGGGACAAGGCCACCCAGGACAAAACTCTTGTCTGCAAAAAAAAAGAAATCCCAGATTACATATCTATATACAGCAGATGGCCTTATTCGTCATCAAGACGTTGGTATCCCCATTTTTAAACCGTTCGTACTGGGACAAAAAACATCCCCGTTGGTTGGGTGTGGAAGGAGCGCTGTGGTCTATTGGAATCCTGCGGGTTTCCCCATCTCCCCGATTTAGGGGATCTTGTTAGTCCTAGCTCTTAGTCTCAGTATTAGAATCCTTAGTCCTGTAGGAAGCAGCTGGCTCCTTTATTTTGTTGGTGGGAACTTTTGTTTCCTTTTGTTTTCTCCTTTATTTTCTGTTCTCCTCCAGGTGGGTAGGCTAGATTTTTACTTGGTCTATAGGTAGAGTTCTGAGTTGTGTGGTTTTTGGGCCGTGATGGCTTGTTTGTTTTCCTCTTTTTTTCCCAGGGTTGGGAAATGTCAGGGCAGCGGTCTGGATTTGGCCATTTCTGCCGCTAGACTATAATTCCCAACGCCTGCACCATAAGCTGGGTAATGGTCCCAGAAGGCTCTTTTCCGGGTTGTTTGTGGAGGGATTCCCGGCCTCCCTTTTCTTGGTGAATGGAATGCCAAGTTGATTTGTAAAAAAAAAAACAAAAAAAAAACATAAAAGACAATCCCAGATGACGATTCCCACATAAAAGCACCGCCCAGCTCCTTCAGTAGGCCGAACAACGGGAAGGGACAAAAAACATAAAGACAATCCCAGATGACGATTCCCACATAAAAATAGGCCGAACAACGGGAAACAACCAACTACCGGTAGGAAGCAAGATAAAAAAGAGCCGGGATGACTGGTCCCACATGAAAGCACCGCTGGTCCCACATGAAAGCACCGATACGCTCGCCGAAATAGACCGAACAACGGGACAAAACCAACCAGGATGCAGCAGACAAGGTTACCAAAACAAATTCTACCATATCCATACTTTACAAAAACGGAACCATTATATGGGTCTCGCTGCACTACTCATGACTCTTGAAAAAAATCACGAGTGCGCCTAGAGTTGTCAGAGTCCCGAAACGGCCGCTGCACTTACTCTAGGCAGTTCTCCTCATGAGTTGCTCTTGAGAGGCCAACACCGACTTCACGAGTAGTGCAGCGACAGCAGAACTCTAGGCAGTTCTGGGACTCGATAGTACGGGGATTCCCCACTGCCACGAAAAGGCACGCACTGTGGAGGGCGGCGCTTCCCCACACCCTCCCCTGGTCCGAAAACTGCGAGTTGTACAGGCCCGATCCTCAGCCGCTTTCCGCCCCTCCACCACTGGGCGCACTCAGCTACTGTCCGCCCGCCCTCCCCCCACCTGAACCGAAAACATGGAATAGTACGTGCCATTTAAGAGGACCACGCACGGTAGTGTCAACATGAGCCCTTCACGAGTGCTCTTGAAGCACTAAATGACAGCCAGCGCGTGTGTTGTCCGTCCAGACCCGGCTCGCTCTCCAAATCCGGCGGCCTGTCAAGAAACCTTCCGACCTCCCTTGCAAAAACGGGAGTTGCAGGCAGGCGAACAAGAGCACTCTAGTCGACTTCGCCTGACTACTACCTGACAGCTCGTGAAGTGCGTTTTCAAGAGTGACGCTGCAAGAGTAGTGCAGCTAGGACAACTCTTGTCCCTTGCAAGAGTGACATCTGACAGCTCTTGACTCACGAAACTGGTGCCGAGTTCATGAGTAAGTGCAGGGGTGCCGCGCTCATGTAAATGCTCGTTTCCCGAGTAGTGCAGAGCGGCCCTGTGTGTGTGTGTGTGTGTGTGTGTGTGTGTGTGTGTGTGTGTCCCAATTTCCCCTCATTATGTCCGTTCAGTCAATCCCCTGGAACTCTAGAGTAATCAATGCTGGCAGGCCCATTTTCACATTCCTCAGACAAATCTTTGGAAAAAACCGTTTTAATGGGACGCTGGACCCGTTTTCCAGCAGGTGACAGTGCCCACCAATTGATGGGCCTCTCTCCCTCGGGGTGCCAGCGGTGATTGTCTTTCCCAACAGGGCCAACACCGCCTACATAGCACTCACAAGACATGTCTCTCCTTACCAAAAAAAATAAAATAAAAAAAACCCCAACCAACCTGGCCAATACACGTCGGGGTATTTGATGCCAACAACTCATCGTGCGGCGGAGAAGAGTGTTGCCGGGAGGGAGAGGAGGTCGTCAAAATCCGTGGCGTTCTCTCAGATGTGCTCTGTGTGCTGGTTTCATAAATATTAAATAATTACGTTTTCATCTCGACTGTAATATTCACTTCCGAGTTTTCCAACCAAGGTGTTGCTACCTCGAATGATTACGCCAGGCCCTCCGATTACGCCTCCCCACCACTTCGCAATTGAGGACGTCTCTAATCAGGCGTCTCTGACTTGCATTTGACGATTGACCAATGCGCAAGGGACTCACAGCAATGAAGACATGCATCCATAATATGCGATCCTTAATTTTAGAGAGAGAGAGAGAGAGAGAGAGAGAGAGAGAGAGAGAGAGAGAGAGAGAGAGAGAGAGAGAGAGAGAGAGAGAGAGAGAGAGAGAGA